GACATCCCCTGAGTTTTCTATTTCAGTTGGCTAGATAAAGAATGAAAAATGGGCCTTAAAATTTAGGTTAGAGTTTGGTAACACCTAATTTAAGGTGAAAGTTGGTGAATGAATAATTTTCCAGGCTGGAAACGTTTGTGACCTTTTGAACAATATTTAGCATTAGAGACCAATAATCACAAAAGAAAGTTCAGTAATCTATCATTGTAAGATGGGAATATCTTAGGGGGATACCTCTCTCTATCATCCTCCACAAGGACCACAACCACCCCCATCCCCATAGCCACAACAATGAAGAATCTTAGACAATGATAACAAATTAAATCTTATTCGAATTGGGATCGACTATATGTAGAAGCTTTACTTACTATTCTGTTCTTCTCGTTACTAGATTTATTGGGAGATCGAAAACAACTAAATTGTTAAATAACGATAGAAAATAAAAGAAAAAAAATTAAAATTTAAAGAATCCTCTATTTAATTGTTTCCATTCTTCCTACTGCATTCCCACTCAATTATCAGGACAAACAGAACAGGTGTAATTATTGGATCCAATTATGATAAGATTCAAAAACAATGAAAAAAGAAGGGAAGAAAGGGTGGAAAAGCTGGTAAAGTAATGATGCCCATAATCATGGCTTCAAGTCAAATTTAGATTTGTGGTCCATCCCTCTAATGTCATATTATGAAATGAATAATCCAAAAAGCAAATTCATAGCAAACTGCAATTTCTATTCCACAAGACAATAATTTTATAGCCTCAAGATAAATCTAACAATCCTAAAATCTTTATATTAATATTTCTATATCAAAAAATAATAATTCTTCTAAAATTAAGTAAAAGATATGGCCTTATGGATCCAAAGAAACTGGTTGAACTGCACTTCTTGAACCCCTTCCTTGCCCAAAAGAGAAGAATGATCTAACTTTGTTACTGCAACCTTCACTGGGACATACACCAAGCACTTGTTTGTTTTGTTGAATTATTTCTTGAACAGCTAAACATAGCTGGCTATCAGCTGCTGAATCCATAGAGAAAGATCTCCTCTTCATGGCTTGAACTGCAAATTGCTCGTCTTTCTGCCTACTGTCAATGCACTCATCTCCCATGCTAGAAACATGGCTGAATCCTTTCGCCTTTCTTCGAGATACTTTTTGTTCTAGTAACTTGCTCGGTGAAGGGCTGACCCATGACGATAATTCCCTCGAGTTCAATCTTTCTTCAACACTAAGCAACGATGGATTGATGTTGGAATCGCGTTCCGTGATTTCAATCACTACATAATCTTCATCTCTTCCGGTGAAGCTATCTGTATTGGGATTTGGATCTTGAGGTGAAGTGCTTGAGCCAAGAATTTGATCTAATGGGAACCTTATGTTAGGCCTGGTGGTCGAAATGCTTGATCTACATAAAGGGCAATTAGCATTGTTCTGAAGCCAAACATCTATACAATCGATATGGAAAACATGGCCACAGTTTGGAATTCCTCTTAACTTTTCGTCTTCTTGAAATTCATTCAAGCAAACCGCGCATTCAGAAGAACCTTTTTCTGCAAATTCTTGTTTATCATTGCCTTTTTTGTATTGAAATGTTGGGATTGATCTGATTGCAGACTCATCTAGACCACGGCTTTCAGCTGCGGGCGAATAAACCATTATAGGGTCTTCAACACGCCTTCTCCTGGAGAACGAAAACCGAGCAAGCAGATCAATACGGTGCCAATTCAAGCAGCATTTGATCACAAAGATGTAGTAGCTCACTAGCAAGAAAGCTGTGGCTAAAATGCCAATAATGGCAACTGCTATAATAGGAAAACTAGTGTGGGAACGATGCAAAGATGAGCCAAAAATTGATGTTGGTGGGCTTCTGATAGGAGACACAGCTTCTGATTCATGGGCATAAAACTTTTGGCTCACCAGATCCATTGGGAGAATTTCACAAACAGATAATAAATCAGTTTATTGAGATCTTGAACACAATGCACATGAACATGTAGAATGGATTTTGGTAAAAACAATGTTGTCTTATTTCAGGATTATATAATAAAGTATTCCCACATTGAAATAAATGAGATCTGTACTTGAAAATCAAAGCGGGCAAGAAAATCTTTGCAGAAAAAGGCAGAAGCTTGGAGATTGAAGCAGAAGGAGGGAGCAGAGTAGGAAAATTTGGATATATTAAATGCAGTACTATAGGAGAAGACATGAGATTTTAATGTAGGTGTTGTGCTTTCATTAAGTGAGAAACAGAGAAAAGTTAAACAAAAGCCTGTAGGTAGTTGGTGAACATTTGGCAAGAAATTAAAAATTATTATTTTCCTATGGTCCAAAGTAGCTATGTACTTTAAATTAGAGCACTATCTTGTAGACTTTTGAAGTCTAATTATACAGTTTGCCCCTTGTTTGGTGTGTATTAAATTTCAGTTTAAAAACTCGATAATTAATTTTATTCTCAAATTTTATGAGATTTACAACTTTTCAATTATGCATTTCATCAAGTTTTATCTAAACATGAACTAATACTCTAAAATAGAGCGAGATTTTTATTTTATTTTATTTATTTATTTATTTTTTAGTTCACACTAAACCGGAGCTTACTTTTTTTGTGAACTGTAAATCTATATCTACAGTACGGTCAACGGGGGTTGGGGGGCGATAGATTTCAAGGTAAATTTTTTAATGTTATAATAGTAAAGTTTAATCGTTCATAGATCTATTAAGTTCATCCTATTATTACCTTTTTACATAAAGAATATTAGACGAAGTTATTTTTCATTACGGAAAACTCGTGTAATCACAAGTGATGGTCACTTGTGTATTAAACGTAAATCATGTTTTCGCTTTTTGGTGTCTTGGTAGCACGTGATTAGATTTTAATCTGTAACACATTCAATATGTAAATACGATAAATCAAACAAAATAATTGGCAAATTTTACAACAAAAATTCATTTCTAATAATATAGGATGCTATCATTTCAATAAAGTGGGGATGTTCTTAAATTCGTGGTTAGTAAAATTTGATTGCTTATTGAGTATAGACTATAATATATTTAGTAAATATGTATTCCTCATTTGAAATAGAATTATACTGTAAGTACAGAGTTTTTGCACTGAAAATTTTTCATAGACACGGTTATCGAAACATTATTCAAATATAGGGAGAAAAACATAAAAAGACTGACATGATTTTTCCATTTCAAAATCCTGTATAAATTCTTTAAATTTTCCCAGAACTAAGGATTTAGGAAAAATACTTTAAAATAACCAGTAGTAATTTCTTATGCTAGGAGATGATACATAATAGGCAGAGGTCCACCATCGCGATCTACGATATGGTTGTTGACATTTGGGCACTGAAAATGACTAATTTTTTGGTGGAATTGAAAGCAGACTATGACACAGTATTCCTTGGTGGTCCAACTCATGTTAAGAAAATTTACTTTTGATAATTTTGGATAATTTTTATAACCCCACCGTATTTGTTCAGATAACTTATAATTTACTTTTAAGAACCTAAAAAAAAATAAATAAAAAAAGGGGTTATGTTCTGTAAATAACCTTCTTAATTTATTATCAAAATAAGTTCGTGATTGGTAGAGATTTGTTGAGAATGGATTGTATAAATTTTTTTATTTTTTGAAGATTATGTGGTTAAAAAATAAAAAATAAAAAAGTTATGGATTTACTTGCAAAGTTATTTTATTGAAAGAACATGTAGTTGAAAACAAGTTTGAAAAAAATAAAATTGAGAAAATTGGGCCAAACAAGAACTAAGTAAACTTATTTATTTTCGACTTTCACTAATAAAAAGATTATTTATTTAAAACTTATTTATTTACTTTTAATTTAAACTTTTAGACATAACAAAAATGCTCGAACACCGTCATTGCTAAAGTTCAAAATTGAGGCCCATGTCAACTCAAGTCAAGCCTAGTAAGTATAATAATAATACTTTAGCCTAACATGATCGCGAAAGTATTAGTTTTATAGATTGCATGCGTGGCTTCCTTCGATCATCATTAAAATTATCAACTCATTAATAACGAACTCGACTAAGTTTTTTACCCACTTAGAGCTAATTTTTGGATTAGAAGAACCTTTTGACTCGCAATGTTAACAAAGCAAGATTAGAGATCACATTAAAGGGTTGAGTCTCATCAAAATGTCTATATTGAATTAGATTCAAAACAACATATTAATGTCCTAAGTAGCAGAAGAAACTTAATTTAAAAAATCTTTTGATGCATGCTTACGATACAAAATGATCGAAAAATGATTATCAACATGCTTATATTGTACTATTTTTCAATTAATTAACTTGAGTTATAATTAAAATCTTTTTGGTAACCTAAAAGAAGTGAAGATCATAAAGTTTCTTATCTACTAAACTCATTGGCAATACAGCCAAAATTGAAACCTGGCCTTACGCATGGAAATGATGAGATCTAAGAATGCAAGAAATGGTCAGAAAAATGCATAAATGCATGAAAAGACATACAACTATCATTTGGAGAGAGCTTGACTTTCACACCAAGTATCGGTCTGGAAAATTATTTGATTGGAAATTCTTCCCTTCTCATTAAAGAGGGCGGGGGGGGGGGCAGAGGGGGGGGGGAAAAAAAAAAAAAAGAAACT